TCAGAAATGTGGCAAATCCCATGTGTTTTTTGGACCCTGACCCCGCGGATCTGCGTGAGGGGTGGCACCGAATTTCATAAATGTTGCAATTCCGTTTTGTTTTTGGACCCTGACCCCGCGGATCTGTGTGAGGGGTGTGATTTCGAGCCCCCCAGCAATTCAGACAACGCGCCCAGGGGGTGCTAAAACATGGATCGACCCACGAACCCGGAAAGGAATATAGAACTGTAACACGGGGCAGCGTTTTCAAAGACACCTGATTGGGTGACGGGCAAATGCAATGCTGAATGTATCGATCTTGATGTACCCTGCCGAGGGCTGTGCTGTGCTGCACCGTGCTGAATTGCGATGTGCCATGCCGCGAATGTGCTCTATAGCGTCATGGATCGAGTCCTCCTTTGCATCCGAGTCCTGACCGAACTGATCTGGATCTTAAGCTCGAGCTGCCTGAACACATAGTAGCTGCCCCAGAGCTGATGGACAAGGGGCAGCTGTCAGGAGGACGCGCCGCGAAACGTCCCAAGGGATGCGCCAGGCGACGTACCAGGGGACGTACCATGGGGTCGCACCGCGGGACGTGCCAAGGGGACGTGCTACGGAACGTGCCAATGGAAGTGCCACGGGATGTGCCAGGGGACGCGCCACGCGACGACGTGCAGGGAGACTCGCCAAGGGACGCACCACGGACCGTGCCAAGGAACTGCCAAGTTGCAATGCTGAGTGTATCGATATTGATGTACCGTGCCCGAAATATGTGCTGTGCTGCGCCGTGCTGAATTGCGATGCGCCATGCCGCGATGTGCTCTATAGCTCGTGGGATCTCTTTGCATCCGAGTCCTGACCGAACTGATCTGGATCTTAAGCTCGAGCTGCCTGAACACAGAGTAGCTGCCCCAGAAGCTAATTGACAGGGGGACATCCCAGGAGGACGCGCCGCGGAACGTCTCAAGGGACGCGCCAAGCGACGTGCCAAGGGACATGCCATGGGGACGCACCGCGGGACGTGCCAAGGGGATGCGCTACGGAACGTGCTGGGGTCAAGCGTTTCGCACGAGACATCCTGTCAAAATCCAAGGGACCCACGTGTTTTCGCGCTTGTTCCGCTCAGGGGCGAAAGGGGCCCACGTGTTTTCACGCTTGCTCTGGCGCGAAAGGGACCCACGTGTTTTCACGCTTGTTCCGCTCAGGGGCGAAAGGGACCCACGTGTTTTCACGCTTGTTCCGCTCTGAGGCGAAAGGGACCCACGTATTTTCACGCTTGTTCCGCTCAGGGGCGAAAGGGACCCACGTGTTTTCACGCTTGTTCCACTCTGGGGCGAAATGGGCCCACGTGTTTTCATTACGTAAAAACACACGGATTCGTCCCCCTGGAGAGGGCGAATCTATAGGCACATACGTAACAAAACAAGCGTTTCGCTCGAGACATCCTCGGCAAACTCTGCGGAGCAAGCGTTTCGCTCGAGACATCCTCAACGCACGAAAAAGTGGCCCGCACCCTGTGATTTATCGATCGGGATTTCAAAAACAAGCGTTTCGCCTGAGACATCCTCAAATTTTAATCCGCCGGCCTCCTTCGACCTCGATATTTATCAGGGAAAGAATCCGCCGGCCTCCTTCAAGTTGGGCACGGGGGGACATTGTTTACATACTAAAAGAGAACCCTGGGCCTTTGCCCTTTCCGGGAAAATCTGGTTTGGGCCTCCCCCCCCCTCGCGATCAACTAGTTACAGTAACCAGCAATAAGCAGAACTGTAACACTGGAAACTACAAGCTACAACTGGTACAGGAAACTGCGAATCACGGGCCTACAGCCTGGTGGCTCCGCAAGGGGGCCGGCGGATACACACACGTTTTTCTTCGAACATCCCCCTGCAGGGGGACACGCCCGACCTAAAGCTACGGCCCGCCCGCGCGTCGGGGCCCGCCTGGCCGCGGGGCGACGCGGCGCGGGGCGTAGCGGTCGGCGGGGCGCAGGCAGGCGGCGAGGGGCGGCTCCTCGGCGAGGCGGCCCACGGCGGGCCCGGGGCGGCCCCACGCAGCTCCAGGGAGAAGGGAGGAGGGAGGAGGGAGGAGGAGGGAGGAGGGAGGAGGGAGGAGGGAGGAGGGAGGAGGAGGAGGAGGGGGAGGAGGGAGGAGGAGGAGGAGGAGGGAGGAGGAGGTGGAGCAGGAGGAGGAGGGAGGAGGGGAGCATGTGATCCGATGCTCTCTACACCGTTTCGTCGTCTTTGTTTCTCCTCTTTTCCCTAACGAGCCCCCCCTCCCGCCCAGGTCTTTGCCGGGTGGGTGGGGCAGGAAAGGTGTGCATGGCCACAGGATCACTTTCGACCGCCATGAGCAGCAGCAGCAGCAGCAGGAGGAGAACAAGGGTCAACCCAGGATGCATCAACGATGTTGTCAGCCAGTCCCGTCCCAACCCCGCCCCCGCATGAGTTTCTACCCAATGCGCCTCGTCACTGAAGGAACCGGCCCCTTGAAAGTCGAGCGCCACACTGGCTTGCCATTCAGGCGGGGCCCTTGTTTTTGGGAAGGAATCAAACTTCATCGGTCTAAGTTTGGAATGTGCCGATAAATTTTGGAAGCTGTTCGAGATAATGTACAGCGAGGGCCACGCATTGAACACGCATCGACTTACATCGTCCATCCGTGTAGTGTTGCACCGTTGATGTTTGGTCGCGGCATTTCAGAACGTCTTCGGCGAAAGTTGCATATGTGCAGGTGTTGCACATGGTTGACAGCACGGATCCCGATGTTGTGAGGGGTGTCGCATGCGAAGAGCCTCGTTTTGAAAATAACAGCTTCACATGCGCACAGCTGCTTTGAGCTGTCGGCGCCACTGTGCGCGGCGCTAAGGCGAGAGCCACATGTTGAAACGTTCAGCTCCCCTGCCGTGTATCTGCTGTAAACTTTTCAGGCGGCTGTTGATTTTGCTAAGCCAGAAGGCCATTATATAAATGTATATATATATATATAAACAAAAAAACACCCGCCCCCCCCCCCCCCCAAGAAGGCGAACAGCTGGGAAGATTAAGGTTGAATGTGCGGGCGGGCGCTGCGAGAGCAATCGGTTGAACGCAATAGTGGCCCATCCAACCATGTTGTTGTTGTTGTTGTTGGGAAACCGTGCTGAGGAAGTCTCAGGCGAAACGCTCACCCTGTCATGCCAACGCGTCAAATGGTGCAACGAAGAGGAGTTGACCATAAGACAAAAGTTGTTGGCGGCGGGCTACGAAGTGGACCTCCGACCGCCACATTCCAGGCTGCGCTACTGCCGTGTCGCTCTAGTGCTGTTCGTGGGGAGGGAGGGGCAGAGAGTCGAGGCATGTTGGGCTCGAGGCGCCATATGGTTTTGTTTAATCAGCTTGTGCATCATATCACTGTTCTTGGCATCGCTCGGACGAGTGTATTTTTCTCTCGGCGAAGACTATCGAGGAGCATCCTTGATCAGTTGACGAAAAAACCATGCACGAAACCGGCAAAAAAAACACAGGGGATGGACGTCCGAGCGATGGCCAGTGTTCAGACCTGAAAACAACGACCCGACTCACCGCAGCCGCGGCTAATGGCGCGGTGGTGGACTTGCGCGGGCGCGGCGCGCCGGGCGCCGGCAGTGTTCCTTTTGCCACGGCCACGGTATCCACGCCACTGCCTCCATTGCGGTCGGGAACTTCGGCTTGGCGTGTTGCGGCGCCGGCTCTGGCCCACCGCGCTTCTGACGAACCAGCAACACACACCCATACCCATAGAGGGGGTCGGAAAGGGCTATGGGTGCATGTTGTCGGATGGGGGTCCCCGCTCGAACGGGAGCGTTCCCTAGGGTCCGACAGCCCGCACCCATACCCGTAGCCAGTCCTCCTCCCAACGACCCCCTTATGGGTATGGGTGTGTGTTGTTCGTTCGTCGGTTTCGGCGCGACAGTCGGACCACGCCCCAGCCCCCGACCGTCAGCATCGTGGGCTTTTCCGAGTCTCCCGCCCCGCGGAGCGGAGGGGCGCGCGATCCGCTTGCAGTGCACGGCGTGTCGCCAGGGCCGCGGCCGCGAAAACAACGCCTTCGGAGCTTGGCCCGCCTGCGCCGCCCCTCATCACGGGGCGCTCCCTGCCCGGGGTTGCGACCAATTGCTGCGGCCCTCGCCGAGCAGCACCTCCTCGGAAGCGAGGCGCCGCTACTCCCAAGGTGCAGGTTTAGCTTGCGGCGCTGCGACGGCGGGCGGTGAGGAGAAGTGCCACTCGTGGTCCTCAACTCGCCATGAAGGAAACGAGTCCTGAGGAAAACGGTCCTGAGTCGGCCTCATCCCAACATGCTCATACTATATGTGCGTCGCCCTGCCAGGGGCGACGCGCGCACCGAGAAATCTTCTGGTATATGCGTCGTGGCGGGCGCTTTCTGGCCACACCGCTCGGGAAAAGATCTACTACAAGATGGGTATGCTACATGTTCGGGTCGGACGCGCGCCTCCAAGGAGGACAGACAGTATGAGTATGACTCTGTCCGTCCCGCTGAGGTTCTTCCCTGTTTTTGTTGGCTTCCTGGGGCCCTACACTGGCCGCTCACTGGCCCCTGGACTGTGAGAAACCAGTTCAGGATGAAGAATTGAAGTCTGGGGGCCGTCCCGCAGAACCCGTTTCGGGGGTTCTTAAAGGGGGGGGTCACCCGAAGGTGGAGTTGGGGGACGAACCCAGCTGGGTGTCTCCCAGAAGCCGTTCAGAGGGAATTGTCCCCCCAACCCCACCAGGGGTCGGCCTAAACCGTGTTTTGGCGATTTCGCAGGCCGTCTTCGTTTCGATGCCTTCTCGCCGCAAAGGCGGATGGAAGACAACACCGGGGAACACGACAGCGAAACGAGAACGAAAACATCTTTCGGGGCGATCCCTGAACCCCACCCCTGCTCCTCTACCCCACCTCTACATCCCCCCTATCGTTCCCCTCGCGCGGCTCGCCGCCCTGCGCACGCTGCGGGCAGGCTCCGCTGCTCCGCCCCGCCCCCCCCCCCCCCCCGGCAGGAGCACGCGCCGATCACCGAGGGCTTCGCGCAGACGGCCGCGCCCCCCCACGCCCCTCCAGGAATCGACGAGCGCGCTCCACTACTCGCAAAGTAACTGCTCGCAAATGGCCTGGATCCCCCGCGGGGGATCTACGGTCAATCACCTCAAACCAGGCATGTGTTTTGTCGGACGTTTGCGAGCAGGCACTTTGCGAGCAGTGGAACGCGCTCGGCGAAGGAAGGGCGACTGGGCCGGTAGGAATGCACAGAGGGGGAGGGGGGCGGGGGAGGGAGAGTGCGCGGATAGGGAGGAGCGGGGCCATGGGCCCAGCAAGAACAGCCAGGCAGCCTGTGCCATCGTTGCCTCGATCGATGCCTCCTGTCGTGCACGCGAGAGGTGTCCTGTCGGAAGTGCTGCGACTTGTGGTGCCGGGAGTACCGGGCGCAATGGCGTTTGTGGTCAAGGCGGAGGTGCTTTTGTCACAGTTGGCCCCGTAGGTGTTTGCGCAGTTCTTGGAATGGGCCGAAGGTGGGAGGAGTCCCGATCCATCGTTCTGCTGCTGGGTCCACGCGCACGCCAAGACATTGCCAAGTATACATGGTCCCGGGCCCCGGGCCCACGGGCCCCCACCCCCCCCAGATGGTATGGTCCCAGGATTCCTCGGGCCCCCCCCCACCAGATGGTATGGTCCCAGAGACGACGACGACGACGACGACGACGACGACGACGACGAAGACGACGACGACGACGACGACGGCGACGGCGGCGACGACGACGACGACGACGACGACGGGGACGACGACGACGACGACGACGACCAAGACGACGACGACGACGACGGCTGCGGCGGCGACGACGCCGGCGGCGGCGGCGGCGACGACGACGACGACGACGACGATGACGACGGCGGCGACGACGACGACGACGACGACGAGGACGACGACGACGACGACGACGACGACGACGACGACCTCTGAACCACCACGGGACCACACCACATCCACAGGGGGGGGGAGGGGGGGGTACCGCAGCGCAGCACCACGCCACGCCCACCTCTGTACCACCACAGCACCACACCACATCCACAGGAGGGGGAGGGGGGCACCGCAGCGCAGCACCACGCCACGCCCACAGGTGGGGGCGGGGGGGACCATCGGGCGGGGGGGGGGGGGGGGGGCCCAATGGCATCAGCATTGGGGGGGGGGGCCCAAGCCCTGGACCATACATACCTGTACGACCACCCTTCGGGTGATAAGGAGACTGTGGGGGGGGAGAGGGGGGAAACCAACATCTGACTCCATCGATTTCAATATCGATCTCACTCAATGGAACACCACGCGACACCACGGGACACTTGTCGATCTCATTATCGATCTCACTTTTTGGGACACCACGGGGCACCACGGGCCACCACGGGACACCTCTCGATCTCATTATCGGTCTATCGATCTCACTACCGATCTCACTCAACGGGGCACCATTGGACACCACGGGACACCTCGGGACACCAGATCGATCTCACTATCGATCTCACTATCGATCTCACTCAACGGGACACCTCGGGGCACCACGGGACACCCGTCGATCTCACTATCGATCTCATTATCGATCTCTTTTTTTGGGACACCAAGGGACTCGTGGGCACCACATCGATCTCGGTATCGATCTAATTATCGATCTCACTTTTTGGGACACCAAGGGACACCTCGGGGCACCGCATCGACCTCAGTATCGATCTCACCATTGATCTCATTATCGATCTCACTCAACGGGACACCTCGGAGCACCACGGGACACCTGTCGATCTCACTATCGATCTCATTATCGATCTCACTTTTTGGGACACCAAGGGACTTGGGGGCACCACATCGATCTCAGTATAGATCTCACTATCGATCTCACTATCGATCTCACTTTGTGGGACACCAAGGGACACCACAGGGCACCACATCGATCTCAGTATCGATATCACCATCGATCTCACTATCGATCTCACTCAACGGGACACCTCGGGGCACCACGGGACACCTGTCGATCTCACTATCGATCTCACTATCGATCTCACTTTTTGGGACACCAAGAGACACCTCGGAACACCACATCGATCTCAGTATCGATCTCACTATCGATCTCATTCAACGGGGCACCATGGGACACCACGGGACACCTGTCGATCTCACTATTGATCTCACGATCGATCTCACTCAACGGGACACCACGGGACACCGCTAGGGCCACCGCCGGACGGACGGAGGATAATCAATGGTCTTCATTTCGCCCTAGCAACGGCGGACACCACGGGACACCACGGGACACCGCAGGACACCGCTAGGGCCACCGCCGGACGGAAGAGATAAGATAAGATGGGTTCGATTGGAAGATATTGATTGGATCAGATAAGATGGATTGGATTGGCCCGTCGCAGGCGCAGAAACAAGTGAATTGGTGGATTTGGTTGGATGGATTGGATTGGGTGGGATAAGATGAGATAAACCGGATTGGATTGGACAAGATGGATTGGATAAGATAAGCTGGATTGGATCAGGCGGCCCGCCGCAGGTGCCGATGAACTGAATTGGTGGATTGGGTTGGGTGGATTGGATTGGATGGGATAAGATGGATTGGATAAGATAAGATGGGTTGGATAGGAAGAAATGAATTGGATAAGATAAGATGGATTGGATTGGCCCGCCGCAGGCGCAGAAACAAATGAATTGATGGATTGGGTTGGGTGGATTGGATTGGGTGGGATGAGATAAGATGGGACAATATGGGTTGGATAAGATAAGATCGATTGGATTGGACAAGATGGATTGGATAAGACAAGCTAGATTGGATAAGAAAGCTTGCTGCAGGCGCCGAACAAAAATGAATTATCAAATTAACGACATGCGTTAGCGCCGGGACGCCTGGGACACCCGGGACACCGCCCAGCCCAACTGGGACACCTCCCAGCCACCGGCGGACGGGAACGGACTTTCGCTCCTATTTCGGCTTAGCTACAGGAGGATCACGCGCAGCCTCGCCTCGCCCGCACGCACGACACGAACGCGAAACCGAAATCGATTTCCGGTGGGGGGTCTCCGTTTCACTGCGATCTCACCCCCCAACCTCCGATGACGGGGGACCGGGTCCAGGGGCCGGGGGCCCTCGCCTCGACCACAAATGTGGGACCCGGGCGTCATTTCCCTTGTGTTTTTTTTATAAGGTTTCGACGACCCGGGGCCAACAGGGCCCCAAGAGGCTGCAGGGAGGCCCCAGGAGGCCGCAGCGATGGCCTCAAACGCCTTTCAAGACGACTCCCATGACGCCAACAAAGAAGGCCATCGAAGGCCCCGAAGACGCCCCAAGAGGCACCCCGAGAGAGCCCCCAATAAGCAAAAATCGCAGATTTCCTATGGGGGAACTGATATTTGTGGCGTGTTCGCCTTTTGGGCTTTCACTGCGTTTAAGACGGCCCAAGAGGCCCCCAAGACTGCCCCACAGGCTCCCAAGAGGGCTCCACGACGACCCCAAGAGGGTCCCAAGGCGGCCCGAGAGGCCCCCAAGACAGCCCAAGAGAGCCCCAGGACGAGCCCCAGAGGGGTGCACAACCGTATTCAAATTCCGAGCTTTCGGCCCCAGAGGCTCACAGGAGGCCCCGACAGGTCCCCAGGAGGCCACAAGAGGCCCCCCAGAGGCCCCAAGAGGCCCCCAAGAGACCCCCAGGAGGCTCCCAAGAGGCACCCAGATGGAGCCCCACATAAGCAACATCGTCAATTTTCCTATGGGGAAACTGATATTTTTGGCGTGGTCGCCTTTTGGGTTTCCACTGCGTCCAAGACGGCCCAAGAGGCACCCAAGACGGCCGCGCCGAAGGGGACGAGGAACCGGAAATTCGCCCCTTTTGGCCCAAGAGGCCCCCAGGAGAGCCCAAGAGGCTCCAAGAAGCGCCCAAGAAGCCCCAAGAGGTCCCCAACAGACCCGCAAAAAACACAAAAGGAGGCCGCGAAGACGTCCCGAGAGGCACCCCTAATAGAGCCACAATAAGGACAAATGGTAGATTTCCTATAGGGGAACTGATATGTTTGGCGTGTTCGCCTTTTGGGCTTCCACTGCGTCCAAGACGGCCCAAGAGGCACCCAAGACGGTCGAGGATGCCCCCAAGAGGGCTCCAAGACGGCCCATGAGGGAGCCAAGACGGTCCATGAGACGCTGAAGCCGCCTGAGAACGCCCCAAGTTGGCGCCCAAGACGGGGACGAGGAACCAAACATGCGATCCAGTTGGCCCAAAAGGCCCCCAGGAGTCCCCAAGAGGCTCCAAGAAGCGCCCAAGAAGCCCCAAGAAGTCCCCAACAGACCCGCAAAAAACACAAAAAGAGGCCCCCAACACGCCCCAAGAAGCACTCCAATAGAGCCCCAATAAGCGAACATCGTCGATTTCCTATAGGGGAACTGATATGTTCGGCGTGTTCGCCTTTTGGGCTTCCACTGCGTCCAAGCCAAGAGGCACCCAAGCCGGTCGAGATGCTCCCAAGAGGGCTCCAAGACGGCCCACGAGGGGGCCGAGACTGCCCACGAGACGCCTAAGCCGCCCGAGAACGCCCCAAGTCGGCGCCCAAGACGGGGACGAGGAACCGAACATGCGAGCCATTAGGCCCATGAGGTCCCCAGGAGACCCCAAGAGGCTCCAAGAAGCGCCCAAGAAGCCCCAAGCGGCCCCCAAGAAACTTGCAAACAGCACCCAAAGTGGCAGCGAGACAGCCCCCCGATGGGCCCCCCCAAAACGGCCCAAGAGAGCCCCAGGGCGCGCCCAAGAGGGTCGACCAGAGAGCTGGTCCGAGTCTCCACACTCTGCACAGGGTCCGTGCCCGGCGGTGCCTCGGGCAGGTGTTGCCATTGGAGTCCTCACTTGCCGCGCCCAAGGGGACGAGGAACCGGAAATTCGCGCCTTTTGGCCCAAGAGGCCCCCAGGAGACCCCAAGAGGCTCCAAGAAGCGCAAGAAGCTCCAAGAGGTCCCCAACAGACCCGCAAAAAACACAAAAGGAGGCCGCGAAGACGTCCCGAGAGGCACC